GTTGGTGGCATCACAACTCCAGACTTCAAGCTCTATTACAAAGCTGCAATCATCAAGACAGTATGGTACTGGGACAAAAACAGACACATAGATCAATGTGTCTACTAATCTTTGACAAAGCAGGAAAGAATGTACAATGGAATAAAGACAGTCTCTTCAACAAATGGTGTTGGGAAAATTGGACAGCCATATGGAGAAGAATGAAACCAGACTATTTCCTTACACCATACACAAAAATAGACTCAAAATGGTTGAAAGACCTCAATATGAGACAGGAACCCATCCAAATCCTTGAGGAGAACATAGGCAGCAACCTCTTCAACCTCAGCCACAGCAATTTCTTCCTAGAAACATCACCAAAGGCAAAGAAAGCAAGGACAAAAATGAACTATTGGGACTTCATCATGATCAAAAGCTATTGCACAGCAAAGGAAACAGTCACCAAAATCAACAGACTGGGAGAAGATATTTGCAAATGATGTATCAGATAAAGGGCTAGTATCTAATCCAATCAAGAAATGAGCAGAAGATATGAACAGACATTTCTGCAAAGAAGACATTCAAATGGCCAACAGATACATGAAAAAGTGCTCAACATCACTCAACATCAGGGAAATACAAATCAAAACCACAATGAGATACCTCCTCTCACCAGTCAGAATGGCTAAAATGAACAAGTCAGGAAATGACAGATGGTGGCGAGGGTGTGGAGAAAGGGGAACCCTCCTACACTGTTGGTGGGAATGAAAACTGGTGTAGCCACTCTGGAAAACAGCATGGAGGTTCCTCAAAAAGTTGGAAATAGAGCTACTGTATGACCCAGCAGTCACACTACTGGGTATTTACCCTAAAGATACAAATGTAGTGATCTGAAGGGACAGATGCACCCCAATTTTTATAGCAGCAATGTCCACAATAGCCAAACTATGGAAATAGCCAGATGCCCATCAACATATGAATGGAAAAAGAAGATGTGGTGTATATATACAATGGAATATTACACAGCCTTCAAAAAGATCGAAATGTTGCCATTTGCAACTACATGGATGGAACTGGGGGGTATTATGCTAAGCGAAATAATTCAATCAGAGAGCGATAATTATCATATGTCCTCACTGATTTGAAGAATATGAGAAACAAAACAGAGGATCAAAGGGGAAGGGAGGGAAAAATGAAACAAGATGAAACCAGAGAGGGAGAGAAACCTTAAGAGACTCTTGGTCTCAGGAAAAAAACGGGGTTGGGGGGGGGGGGGGGGGGGGGGGGGGGGGGGGTTGCTGGGTGATGGACATTGGGGAAGGTATGTGCTATGGTGAGTGCTGTGAATTGTGTAAGACTGATGAATCACAGACCTGTAGCCCTGAAACAAGTAATACATTATATGTTAATTAAAAAAAAAAACAAAGTTCTATTGGATAGCACTGGGTTAAAAAGTGGAAATAAAAAAAAAAGAGGCTACAGTAGCTGAAAGACAGAGGGAAAAGAGGTTTCCAACCTGAGAAGGGAGGGAGATGGTGAGGATCTCCCCAAAACCTCTTCCATTGTAGAGCCAGGACAGATTAAGCTGAGAAGCAATTCATCAATTAATGAGAACAGTGGTGTCCTTTGGTCCTTCTTTTGGATGTCACTATTTAAAGCAAGGCAAACTTTACTTAGCCTGGTGACCAGCCAAGGAGGGCAAGAATTGAGCAAGTCCTGGGCCCAATCCTAGCTCTTGTTCTTACTATGTGTGATCTTGATGGGACAATGTTCTTAAACTCCCAGCTACAGTTCCTGCATTTATAAAATGAGGATACTGTTAGACCTATTTTATGAGATTGCTGTAGGGAATTCATGAAATAACACATTTATTAATGATCGGCCATTATACTAAGTGCTTGAAAACGTAAGCTATTGTTTTTTCCTGAAGAGCAGATATTATTAGTTATTTATATTATTTATATTAGTTATTATAATAATTAATAATTATTATTATCTAATAATAATCTTGAGGGGTCCCATTGTGGTGGGACACTGAACTAGATATAAGACTAGGTTCGATTTCTGGCTTTAGATATTTGCTTTACTTTGTGGATTGGCTGTGTTGGAGCATCCCTTTAACACTTAGCCAGGCCGTTTACAACTCTGCCTCACTCTTCTTTCCTGTTTGCACTGAGCTTAGAGCTCAGCAGTAATGAAAGCTGAGATTCATCTCAGCTCTTTTCTGAGCATGCATCCTGTCCCAAGTATGTGCATAGCTTTCTAAATTCCCTAACATGCATGATGACTTTTGAATGCCCTGATTCCCCAGAGCAACTCTCTCTGGCTTCAGACAGTCTCTTGTATGTCCCAACCATCATTCTTTGCCCTAAGTGGCTGAGGTTTTTCTGATCCCCTTACAATGTTTTCAAGAAATGCTTACCATTTTTCTGGCCTGAGTAGAGCTCCAGTTAGGGAAAACAAATGAGCACTTTGCATTAGTTTTTCAGGTAGTCCCTAGAGAAGCTAGTACACATAAACACACTAACTTGCAAATAATATCTCCTCTATTCCTTCCAGAGTCAAGGACCATGTCCCACAGTGGCACATGGGGTACCACAGATGCCAGGAAGGCAGTGGGGGCAAAGGCAAGTAAAACCCCACAAAGGTTTCCCTACCATTAAGTTGCCTTTTTCTTGATTCTGCATTCACTTGGTTGCTGTAAACTTGTTGTGTAGAGTTCTGACAAAGTTGGTTCTGACTTTCTGGTTGTTTTTTTCTAAGTTTCTATAGAGGGACAGAAGTTTGGAACTGCCCACTTGCCATCTTGCTGGCATCACTCCCCTAGTTACTTAACACTGGACAAGTCACAACCTCCCTGTATCTGTTTCTTCCCTAAACAAAACTACTCAGAAAATGCCTGAGGGCTGCTGTGAGGAGCAAATATGGGAATGTGGAAGACTTCTACAAAATATAATGCACATGAAACCTTATTTTAGAAAGTAGGTGACTTGTGAGCCAAAATTAAAAAAAATTTTTTAAATTAAACAAATTTTAAAAAATTTAAAAAAATTAAAAATTAAAAAATTTAAAAAAAATAAAAAAAAATTTTAAATGGTGGGGAAAAAAGTTTAACTTCATATATTTTTCCTGATCTTCATTCCTACCTACAAAAATATAACATTTCTTTTACCAAGGGCCTGAGTAGCACTCTAGCATGAGTAAGAGAAAAATACTGTTTTTATTTCAACATTTTATTGAAACTTTTCATATTACACAATTTGCTGAAAACATTTGAAACACTAGACAAAAACAACTTACACACACACACACACACATACCTCTTCTAGCTGAGGTAATATTGCAAAAGACTCATAGTATCATAAATTTTTGTTACTCTGCTATACAACTTGGTATCACATTAATGATACTCCATGACTTTTCAAAAGAAAGAAGACATTACACATCCAGCTTAGAGAGAGTGAGAGAACTGTGCAATTATCGGGAAGAGAAGAGAAAGCAGAAATGCCAAAGTATCACTCAAATTCCAATGCAATGTGAATTGCTGCCAAGGGGATTTTATTTGCTTATATATTATTGAAAATAATTAATTCAAACCTGTTTTTTTAAAGAGCTGGCAGAGTAGTCTTTCATGTCCCAAAAGATGAAGAAATCAAACTGAGGGTGAATATCCTCCACAATCTCAGTTGCAAAAAACAAATACCAAAGCGTGTGTTTTAGATATATGAATACACAGAAATATTGAAGCATTCATGTCCAATCAGTAAAGTGAATGCTTTGTGCAGTTGTTAACAAAGCCAGTGCTAAAAAGACAGTTGTGAGTAGTCAGGCATGTTTGCAAAAGTGAGAGAGATCTCTTCACTCTCCAGTTGTTTCTGAAAACGGCTGAGTTACCAGATCCCCCAAATCTTGATCATTTTGAAATCAGTTTGTTTCATATTTGTAATATCTAGTGCTGGGAGTTTGGAGCCTTCAATAAATTTAAAAACTTAAGGATTATTTTTCAAGGGCTCATAAAATAGAGAAGGGTAGCTCAAGGGAAATTTATATGCAAATGTGCTAAATCGATTCATAAATTCACTTAACATACTAAGTTAGTATTTATCAGGTTTTTCAGTTTTTAACTCAATCACTTTCATACTATTTGACTCAGATGAAAGAAACCCTACAATGTAAAGAAAGCAAATCACACTTCAGCTCCATGGCCAAAATCTGGCTTATGTAAGAGGACCATTGGGCCTGTGGAACATTTTAATAGAATCTTATTCATGGTATCATTAATCATAATGAATTAAAATTTTCTGAGCTATTATCATTTTAAAAAATGTAGCCAATGGATATTTGACTTTGGCACGTATATGGTAAGGAATTAGAGCAATTTTTAAAGGGAGAGTGTGCCTAATATGCACTACACTTATTCCTTTTTAAATTCATTTAAATATATTTGGCCAGCATCTAAGTCCTTGAATTTTAAGGATTTTTATAGTTCAACTAATTTAGAATGGCACTAAAGAATGATTAGTATTTTACTTGCCACATCCCAACTTGAATATTAATTTGTATTCTGCCTCCAAAGAGACAAAAGACCAACTTTACTTGTATGTGGTTGACTATCTATCTTGTAAGGACTCTATAATGAGACAGATTTATGTAACTGAATCTTTACACTAATTTTTGTCAAAAATCTTGAAATAACTAATTTTTAACTACATGATGATCTCATGGACTCTCATTAGTAAATATTTGATTCCATTCAGATTGTTTTCTAGAAATTTTCTGAAACTTGAAATTTTCTGAAGTTTACTCTTATTTGAACAATCTTTGATTATAATAAAAATGATTAGAAGTTGAACAGATTATAAACAACTAAAAATTTACTTAGCAGTTCAAAAGCACTGAAAACAATTTAAGTGTCATAGGTAGGGCAAAGCAAACCATGATCTAAAAGATTAACCAGAAAATACAACATGTGACCAGTGGCATTTAATTTTATTTTCCCCTCTTCGTGGAATTTAAAAATGGAAAACATGTATTTTAGTGATTTTTAAAAAACCACACACATACCACACAAGATCATAGACAGAGTTGCTACTTACATATGGTTTGACACTTTTTGGATAACATCTTTTGGTTCTAAAACTATTAATCACAAAAATTAATTGTTACGCTGACATTTAGCAAGTAAATCTCAGTTTTAGGTTGGCCAATATTGGTGCAAAATCATTGCACTTATGTGCTAAATGGTTGGTAGTAAAACTGCGATCACTCCTGTGAGGAAATGAAACTCTAAAATGTTTAATGATGTATCGGTCAAATGCTTATTATTTTATTATACAAAGAACCTCACCCACCAACTTCAATTTAGGAACAGGCAGAATTTTTTTTTTTTAACATACCAACAACCATGTTTTTGCTTATTATTTTTGAGATTTACTTCTTTTCCTCATCCACAAAAAGCAGGACGAACCCTTTAATGTTTTTATTTTTTCTTCATTATTCATTCAAACAAGTTTAAACAAAAGGTGATAAGAAATAAACTTGCTTTTCCCTTTATGTATATCTAGTTTGAGAATGAAACTATTAATAAAAACTGAAGCCATTATTTAATGATGACTATATGGAAGGCAAGAGGCACACACTTTCACATGAATTTTAATTGTGTCTCCTCTAAGACAAGTCATTCAGAAATATAAGGCAAGCGACATTCCTTTCAGGACACAATTTGTAAATATGGAAACATTAATAGTTGTCATGATTATTTTTTACTCTCTTGCTCTTAGGAATGGCTCTAAAAATGGCCCTGATGATTCACATATCTAGGTAAGCAAATCAAACTTTATAAACATATAACGAATTTTCAGTTGCTGGCATTGAAATGCTGGGTTTGAATATGGACAAATATACTGTTTGCCTTAAATCTTTTGGGTACCTTGTCCTTTAATGTTTTGTTCTGCCATTTAAGCAGAAAGTACATGACTTCATTTTATGAAGTAAGCTGATCTCAGAGTGGAAAATTTGTAGAGATGAAGGAAATTCCAAGTTCCGTGTATGTACATAAATGGCTTTATATAATAAATATATAGCCATTACGAAGTTACACAGGGACAATGCAATTTAAAACTCAAGTCCTGCTTACACGTGGGCAAATCCAGTCCTTCCCATCTTTATCACTGATGACATAGTTTATTTACTTAAAGGTAAACTATATTGGTACTATATACTCTATTAAGGATGACATAGCAGTATCAATCTAGAAGGTGAAATAAACTTCTAATAAATTCTTAAGTCAGATGGAATAAATTCAGCTCTGTGAAATCTTGTTTTATGTTTGCTGACAAATTTCTCCTTCTGCCCAGGATGATTTTAGTTTAGCATGAGTGCTACACTGGCTAGAATTCAATGCATGAGTGTTACTTTCACTGAGTTTTCGAATTTGGAATACTTTTCATCCAAAATATGTACCTATGCCTTTTAAAAAATGAAGAGTCCATATATCAGCATGGGCTTTCCCTACCAGTTTCACTTTTGAATCCATTTTCCCCCCAGTACTTCACTTTTATCCCTCATAATTTCATAACAAATTATCCAGATTATATCTTTTAGACTAACCAGGAACTTAAACCTCAAGCGCTATTTTGAAGAAGGGTGGAGTAAATAATTTTGGTAATCTGTAGAACAGCTGCATGCAGCGTGTACTGTATTATAACAGCACCAAACCCCTTATAAAAACCAAGCACTCCTTCCTCCTGCCTTATGGTATTGATACAGTCTCTCATTCCCTCGTACTGTGTGTTAATTGGAAGCACTTCATAGCCAAGGTCTGTATTGTCAATGATTGTGCGTGTTCCTTGAATGTGAAGGCGGTGCAAGACTGTTTCCAATGGGTAAAGTATAACATCAGAGCAAAGACTGGCAGCAAAGTTAGCAATAAGTTCTGGAAAATAAGCATCCAACATACTCTGCACTGGACTAGTGCTCTCAGCTAGATGGCTACTATAAGTCTTTCTCTTTAGAATTAGGAGGACAAACTTCTGAATGATTGAGCTGATGATGTAATGAAGAACTCCATGCAGCACCGTAGGGAAGATCAAAGAAAGGAGTGGGAGCAGTCGTTTGCTATGAGGCACTCCGAGGCCAATCACTCTTCCAATTCCTTCTTTTACACATTCCAAAATTCCAGTGTTATCGCGAATGATCTCACTCTGAAATAAAAATGATGAAACGAATAAAAGTGAACAGTTGCTTACTGTGCCAGAAGAAAGGGCTCTTATTAGGTCCCTTTTAAATCCCAATTTATGACTACAGGGGGAAAATATCAATGGCTTGCACACTTCGAAAGTTATCTAAGCATTAGATTCTTTTTTCTTCTTTTCCTTTTTAAAGATTTTATTTATTTGAGAGAAAGAAAGAGAAAGAGAAAGAGAGAGAGAGAGAGAGAGGATGAGATGGGGGAGGCTCAGAGGGAAAAGCAGACTCCCTGCTGAACATGGAGCCTGATGCGGGACTTGACCCTGGGACTCCAGGATCAAGACCTGAGCCAAAGGCAGCTGCTTAACCAACTGAGCTAGCCACCCAGGCCCTCCTAGATTCTTTTTTCAAATGAAATTAACTAACAGACAGCTGTGAAGCTGGGAGCTATTCTCACTGGGAAGGGAAACAGGGGAGGAGATGGGGAAAGGACAACCTGGTTCCTCTATCTTCAAGAAGCTCCTTAGAACTCATTTTGAAAAGCTACGGGACACCTAAAGAGGTTGTAAAGTGCTTAGAGTTCTTAAAAACGGCTTATACCCTGCCTCCACCCATTACTTACCTGTCATGTAACCTTGGGCTAGTTACTTTTCCTAAGAATTGGTTTACCATTCTATAAAAATGGGATTAGTCCCACCTACCTTTTATGCACAAGGCTGCTGAGAGTATTACATGAAAACAGGCTTGGCTTCCAGAGGCACTCCCTCAATACTATCTACAATGTATCTGCCTTTTTACAGTGACATTAGGGAATGAGAGTCAACACAGATTCTTGGTCAGAAAAGGATATAAACATTGCAACCTGAGAACAATGGCATGAGTGTACACAGTGACCTTAAAATGTAGGAGCCAGATCACAGATTTTTAATAAAGACAACAGATCAGCAGGAAACTCATTTTTAAGAGCTTCGGGAGTTGTTGGAGATTTGTAAATAAATGTGTATTTTTCAGGAGAAAAAGTGTTCTCAGAAATCTGAGCTCCCAGAAGAGGGAAAAAACCCACTGAAACATGAATGAAGTAGGAAGAAAGAAGCTAATGTAGTAAGCTGATTGTGTGCTAAAGAAAGGATGAGAATGGCTGCCTGTCATGGGGAGAAACAGACAAATCTCAGATGCGTGGTGGAGTTACAACTAAGCAGGCATATGACTAATTGGTTATAAAGGATGAAAGAAACATAAAAACCAAGACTTTCTTAAAAATTAGAACTAACGTTTTGAGTCTCTGGGGGCAGATATCAATAGTACCACGAGTGGAACAGGAGAAGAAGCTCAAAAGGAAGCTAATTTTCAGGGTACTAAGAATAGACTGTTTTATGAGTTGAGTATGAGGGGAAGATGATTTAATTCACATAGATATTAGAGTTTAAACGATTCATAAGAGTAAATGAGTTCTTCAGGATGGTGACTATAGGATAAAAGCAGAGCAAGCCAAGGATAAAACTTTGGAGGACCGTGGAAAAGATGGGAAAGAGGTTATCAAAAGAACGTGCTCAAAAGAGAAAAACTGTTAAGAAGCAACAGACAGACTTCTAGAAAATACACAAAAGGAGTCAAAAGGAGACAGCAGTTGGAATCTGGAGCAAGAAAAAACAGTGGCTGGATATTGGGTAAAAAAAACAACAACTGACAGTGAGCTGGGCACTTTATATAAATAACTCATCTAATTTTTATAACTGTTATTAAAATGCTATTCCCATCTTATGGATGAGAAAATTAAGATCTAGAAAGGTTAAAACATTTGTTTACTCACAGATCAAACTTAAGTAAAGAAATGTGATTTTGGTAAGGGTCTGTCTAAAGCTAAGACCTGTTCTCCACAATATATCACACCACTTATTTTTTCTTTAAATAACTACCCTCCTGCTATTTTACCCCTTATCTGTCAAATGTGGATATATCATTGAGTGATAGCTCTGTAAACCTCAGCCTTACACAAACATCGTATCATTTGATACAATGCCAAAAGCAAGGGGAGAGGAAAGTATATTTGCATAGCAAAACATTAACTTTACTTAAGTTAATTATAAATAAATAAATAAATAAATAATCAATCAATAATAAGGCCAGAAAAGCAACTAAATGGAAAAGAATAATTACAAAATCAAAGGCTAATCCTGTGAGGTTCTTACAAAGGAAACACATACATACTGAAGACAAGAAATAAGCAACAAGATCTGGTGTTGGAGGCAGGAGATAAGTGGTATACAATTAGTTGGATTTTGAGTATATGTGAAATTAATACTATCTTCAGGTTATAGTTTTAACTGTAGGAATGGTATGGTAAGAAGTACATTAATACACTGTACTTGAAGGGCCACCATGTGGTTAGAAATGGTAAAACACTAAAAAGCTGACAGGAGATTGCTTTAGCTTTGTAGAATTTAACACACCATGGTACCAAATGTTCCTTAAAAGGCATATTTAAAAAGAATGCTGTTTGTAGACTATCTATGGGACTACCTGCTCACTATTGGGGTGATTATCCAGCATGTTTTATGCTCAGGTAATTAGTAATTTACGGTCTGGCGACAAGCCATAAACATCTGAGTTGTTCGTAAAGATTTTAAAAAGTTGAAAAAACCAAACAGATTCTTTGTATTCAGAATAAGCTCTTGGCTGGGTTCTGAGATACCTGAATGAAGAATACAGCTGGCTATGGGATGGATAAAAAGAATTAAAACTAGAAGTGTGACGTAATTTTGCAAAGGAAAGATACACAACCAGCAATGTACCTAGTACACAATCTCTGGGATATGGGTGGTATTTGAGAGATTAAAATTTTAAAAAGATAGTGTCTTAAACTCTTCTGGTATACAATCAGAATCTGATATAAACAATATACTGAATATTCAAAAAATTTTTATCTAAAAAATGACAATAAAAAGTAGCTCACCTGTACTGTTTCAATGAGACTTGCTGAATAAAAAGGCATTGCCACCATGTAAGTTAGGCTGTAGAAATTAAAACAAACTTATCAGTATACTGAAACAACATGCTTATGCTAAATTTTGAATATCTACTTATATATATCAGTGTAATTTATATTCAAGCCTGAATATATTTAAGGTTTTCAACTATTAATATCTAACATAAAGATACTTTGGAGACCTGAATTGTAGGATGCCTTATTGAACAGTTAGTGATAAAATTTAAGTAAACACAGGGAAAGGCTGCAAAGAAAATGGATTTTATTTTAAACCAGGAAAATGTAGGCTTGGTTATGATTCACTGTCTAACCTGCATACAGCTAATGTAACCTTGTTGTATACCTGCATATAGCTAACATAGCCTATAAATCTGATATTAAAAGTTAGGATGAGGGATCCATTCCACTGTTTGCCTTTTTAGTGACATTTGAACAAGTATACTGTTCTACTATTATCCTATTGATTATCATTTTCCATTCCCAGATTTCCCACCCAGCAGAGCTAAGCCAGTCTTCAATGATGAGTGAAGTCCCCTTATATTAAAAAACAATATTGTACAGCTTTGCAAAGTTGTTTCCTATCATCACTACTTAGACATAGTAATATTACAACTTTGCAAGCCTGCAAAATAGAGTTATTTAAAATAACATCAAGGTGGGACTTACCTAACCCTATGGGCCAGGTCCTGGCAAGTAGTAGTTTTCAAGGTGAATGGAACATCACTAAGTAATAATGTGCTGGAATGTCCCACAGAGGGAGCCAGCAAGCTGGGGGATTTCCAATTCACAATCTTCAAAAAAAATTAAAAAGTGAAGAGTAAAATTCTAATCTACAAAAGTGGTCAGTGTTGTAAAATCATGAAGTGTCTTTAGGACTCCGTTTTAATGACACTAAGGTTTGAGTCTGCTCATCACTATACAAATAAGTTTTTGTTTCTGCTTAATAATAAAATAATAATTTTTCTGGCAAATTGGTTTAAACAAGTTGAAGACCTCTGCTAACTTCCTAAGAACACAGAGAAAAATTAGGTTGTGATTTCAGCCTTTCAAATTTAGAAAGATCTATTTTAAAGATAATATGTATTTCAGGATTTTATTCCTCGACTCTACGTTAACTGTCTTTTGAAGTACTAGTCCCATAAATATTTTATTGCTCTAATTTTCTTTGCTGTATTAAGATGTTTTTCAGCCCTAATACTATAAAAATTAATGCAAATTTTCAATATAAGTGCCACTTTTGATACTTACGATTTTAGTAGAAGGTGTTCTCCTATTTGTTTAGGATTCCATTTATGTGAAATCTCCCTAAAAATAAATTTCAATAAAACAGAAGCCATGTTATTTACAACATCTTGAATTAGTCTGACTTTCAAAAAGGTAATTGATTGTAATTAAGAAAAAAAATCTGTAGGAGAAATATATTCTAATGGTGAACATGTTCTTTTCTGGGACACACTTCAATTATGGTGGTTTAAAAAGAAAAAAATGTACTAAGTACTTTTCTATGTGCTGAAAGAAGGGGTTGACAGAAGAGGAAAAACTACCACTAATTATAAAAAACTTAATACTTAAAGGAGGAACATGAAAACTTCCAGGAGGAGATATAAAGATGACAGGCTGAGGAAGAAAGAGAGTTGAGATGGGGAAAGGGAGACAAGGAATAGGATAACGGATGAAAAAGGATGAGAATTTAAAAACACAATTAAGTAACTGTAATGCAGAATGAACGTGGCATTTGTGTAGCACCAAATTTTCCAAGTGCCTTTCTTTATTATGATATTAATTGTGTGACCTTTATTATATTCTGATATCTTTCTGAGCACCTACAAGGCCAGGCATGGTGCAAAGTGCTTTGCAGGAGTTATTTCTAACTCTCACAATGACTTTGTTATCCCAATTTCATAGATGAGGAAATAGGCTGAGAGAGGGTTCATAACCTACCCAAAGCCATACAACTAGTTAGTGACGGAACTGGGTCCAAAACCCTGGTTTCTAGGACTTGGAAGTCTGTACACTCTGTCTGTACTTCCTCTCATCCCATTTGATATAGGAAGACATCCTGTGAGGTAAGCAGAGCAGGTGTGGTCCAGTTTGTTTTACTTATGAGACAAAGGAAGGTCAGAAAACCCACAGGGACACATTCAGGTGACAGGCAAAGCGCCAGGTCTGAGATCAAGGTCTCGTGCTGTGTGCTTCCTGCTGTTTAGGTCACCCTCGGAAATCAGAAAAAAGAGAAGATAAAGAAGAGAGGCAAGCTGCAAAATTAAAAGAGGAGAAAGTTGTACCATGAGAAAAGTCAAAAAGGACAAAGGAGAATGGAGAGAGAGCGAAAGGAAAAGTCAAGGAGGAAACAGAATAAACTGAGAAAGCAGAGAGAGAGTAGAAGGGGTGGGAGAAGAGGGAGAAGGGAGAGAGGCCGAACAGCAGAGAGAGGGAAGTGTAAAATGAAATAAAGTGTGAAATAAAGAGAACTACAACCAGTGTGCTTGACAAAACCAGCACACATGGCACCACGGCCCCAGCAGAGAGCTGAGGAAACATCTTCTACTTGAAATGACTGAATATGACAAACCTAAGGAGACAGGGAATAAATTTATTTTGTATTAAAAAAGGTGTAGAAAATCATCATTAATAAATCCTCTAAAACCAAATTTAGTACAATTATAACATGGGTGATACGCAGAATTTCTAAAAGAATGGAAGATCTGCAGAGAAACTTGGACAATAGACCAACCAATTCTGATCAGTAAGACCTTAGAGAGCCTTCTGGGTCGCATTTTTATTAAATTAATACTAAGACTAGTATTTCAGGCCTTAACAACCACAGAAAAATATAGCTGAAATGACCACCAATGATTTGGATGAAAAAATATAAAAAAGATCAGGCTTCCCATCTTTTTGACAGTGACTTCATGATTCTAAAACAATATATGCTACATGGTTTGCAAATCGCCTGGGTACTGCTGTTACTCTTACCATGGCCCCAGAGAGTACTACCACAGGGCTTAATAACAGTGATTTTAAGGACGAAACCATCATTAACATTAGAGACAGACGGGTCTGTGATCAGTATTTCTGTAAGGACAGGGCTACTCTGCCTTTGAATACAATACTAATTACTACTGACAATTCTTAACACCAATAAGATTATTAAAAGTGGGAAAAATGAAATTTAGAATCAAGTATAAAAAATATGAGACTCTCTTCCTTGTATCTCTATCTGTGGGTAAAACCTATTGCCACAGCTCTAGAAATTTCAATTAGCACGCTGAAACACTTTAGGAAAGAGAATAATATGAAAAATCTACTTGTGATCAAACCTCTTTATATTTCATTATCAATCATTCATTATTTATATCTCATTATAGGTAAACATATTTAACTCACTATTTTCACAAGCACAGCCTGCCCTTGAAAAAGAGCAATAAATTAAAGAGAAATGACTTGCTTTTTCTTAAAATAGTTCTCTATTTGACAGATTGATATACATGCTTCCATGCATAATCAATACAAAAAAGCAACAGAATTTTTAAATAACTCTATTTTTAAAGTCTTTACTTATCATTCTCTCTCATTTTCACATGTACAGATAACTGCACTCCTAAAAAAAAAAAAACCTTCCCTCAACCAAACCCATCTTCCAGCTACTTCTCTTCCTCTTTCCTCTGCACAGCCAACTTTCTGAGCTTGCTATTTTTCCATGTCCTAACACCCCATTCACCTCTGAACCCACGCCAAATTGGCTTTTACCCCATTACTCTAAAAAACAGCTCTTGCCAAGGTCCCCATGACCTCTATGTCTACATCCAATGGACATTTTTAAGTCTGAGGGTTACTGGAGGGAAGGTGGGCAGGGGGATGGGTTCAATAGGTGCTGGGTGTTAAGGAAGGCACTGGTGATGAGCACTGGGAGCTGGATATACTTTATTTCCCCTTCAACAGACAGCAGGCCCTAGGCTTCCTCCCTTCTTGAAGCATTTTCTGTCCCTGTATTTCACTATCACATACTGTTCTGGTTTTCCTCCTCCCCTCTAGTCTCTACTTTTGACTCCTTTGCACTAGGATTTTCTTAAGCCAGCCACCTATTCTAGAGTTCCTAAAGGGTCAGGCCCTCTTTTTACTTTATATGTTATGCTTCTTCCTAATGTAATGTTATCCAAGATGATGCTTTAAAAACCTCCCAAATCCATTAGCTTCACTTTAGATTTCTCTGCATGTCAACCGTGTATATCATCTGTCTCCTGATAACTCTACCTGGGTGTGGCAAAGCATCTAAAAATGAACTTGTCCAAAATCAAGCTAATGATCTTTCTTCCCTATTCTTGGACTCTTTTAGTGGTCCCTGCTCAGTAACTACTAATCAAAAAGAAATCTACTGAATTGGAGAAAGATTTCATTGTGTTTAAAATAGAATATGTTCAAAGTCAGTGAATTCAGAAGAGTGGTTAGGAGACACAGACAACATGAGGAGAAACTGTAAGATGTTTATACTGGTACAATACAAAATGTGAGATGCATCAAATGAAGTTGGAGGTCAACCAAATGGTTTTTGTGAGACTGAAATACACAAGGAGCCTTGGTTACAGGTGTTCCTTATGTAAATGAGAAATGACTTATGAAAGTAAAGGGTACATGTAGTCTCCCTTACCCCACTTGGGAGAAGATGTGGGGAAAAATTGGAATGGGGTCTGGGTGCTAGATAAAGAGATCACAGATGATTATTTTGGGTTACATACTTTTTCTTTTAAAGTAGTAATACCATAAAGCTCTAAGCTTGGTGACTTCATGGGCACTACAGACTTGCTCTTTTTCTTTCAGATGTGATCAAAATGAAAATGAAAATCTAAATATTTGTGAATCCATACTGTCTCACCTGTTCTACCTAGTGGTCGCTGTGCAATTAGGGAACCTCAGTGTAGGAGACCCCCCCAAGCTCATTCTCCTCGGGTGGTAACTTCTGTGAATCACTTTGGGTTACTGCTTTGCTACCCTGTCTGCTGTGACTTTGCTTTCTCCCTGCCTAAAAACAGAATTAAAGTTTATACTGTACTTCAGAAGAATGGCTTTATTTGACATCTAGTTACATAAGCCAAAATCCTAGAAGTCATCCAGGACAGCTCTTCCTCTATCACCTACTATCCCTAGTCCATCACTACATACCATCTGTTTTACCTAAACACATTTCAAAAGAATCCACTTAGATCCATTCTCAAGAGATGCCACCCTGGTCTTAGCTACCATTACTTGTCACCCAGGTGACTGTTGCAGAATATGAACATGTGTCCTCTTATCTACTTTGGTCCTCCCAAAATCTTCTCACCTCCATTTAAAATGACCCTTTAAAAACATGAATCTGATCATGTCACTGACCTCTCCTTAAAACTCTTCAATATCCTTGAAGTGGCCTACAAGGCCCTGCATCAATCTGGCTCTCACCTGTATCTTCAGCATTCTGTCACACATCTCTCCCTCTTGCTCTCTGAGCTTTAGCCATATGAGCCTTCTCTCAAGTTACCAGAATTCTCCATGTTCCCTGTGCAACGCTGTCTTCACACAAACTGTTCTGAGCCTCCTAATCAGCACTCAGATGTCAGGTTAAGCGTTATTTTATTAGAGGCACTGTTCCTAACGCTTTACTAATCTCACAGAATCTTTTCTTTTCCTTCTGGGAACACCATCTCAGTTTGTAATTATTTATTCATTAATGGGATTATTTTACTTAATGGATGTCCCTATACTGGATTGTAAGCTTCATGGTCACAGGTACCTTTTGTTTCCTCTCCTCACTGTATGCCTGATTTTCAGCAAAGGACTTAGCATATAGTAGGTACTCAGGAAATGAATTAATGAGTGGGATTTATCTGAAAAATTATCCCAGTAGAATACAACAAAGATAGCCTTTTGTGTCTTCTTAATAAGACCCAAAATAAGACCCAAGAGAAAATACATACCTATATAACCGACATGTCTATAAGGTCTATAGAGTAAGAAAGGTAGATAACAAAATTTAATGAAATTCTGCGCCATCCTATTCCCATTCCTTTTTTCCTTCCCTTAAACCTTAAGTTAAAGTTACTATTTCATCTCTGTGTTAAAGAAATAGCATTACCTGTCTGAAGTCCCAGAAGTCAGAAGTAGTATAGCCAGGACCAATAGTATTCTGACTACAAATATACAAAATTCTTTACACTTCAATATATAGAAATCCCTGAATTTTATTAGATCTTTATAAAATTTTGTTTGTGAGAGAATTTTAAGAACACTTGTTGACAAGTACTAACTTATGATCTTATACTATGATATAAAAAGCAGTAGAGTGAATAAAGTTAGTTAAGGACAGAAATTCAGATTTCTTAAGTATGAGAGGGGAAACTTTTAATAGGCCAAATGTTTTGTTTTGATTTTAACATTTCATAAGTCTGTGTTAAAGAACTCTATGAAGTCCTCTGAAAGCAATTACGTTGGCAAAAAGCCCGATTTCAGTCTTTCCTGCCTTCATTTCATTCCCTGCAAAGTCTGAATCCTAAGATTGAGACACTAGTGGCTGTACCTTCGACTACCTCACTTCCTAGTCAATCCAAAAAATTCACTCTGCCAGGGACTAACTCTGGATTAACAAAACATTCAAAGTTTTTGATGCTATCTCTGGCATACAGCACTGATACACAAAGTTAGAGTCCTGCCAAACAGTACCTAAACAAATTTATGATTTCCACTATCACCTACTAATGTTCCTTTCATATATACTCCTTGTAAGGTTTCCTTCCTGTTATGCATTTACTGTCTCAAATGTGTATCATTCTTCTCATGCTTTTTTGCTCTGACCCCAATATTCTATTTCAGAGAGTAAACAGACCCAGAAGCAAGTTTTCCTAATTTCTCTTCCCTCTCCTTCCAAATGTATCTACAATTCTACATTCTAATTCTCTCCTCTTGGCTTCTAAGACACTATTATCCTAGGTTACTACTATGTTCAATGGTTTTTGTGAGTATCTCTTAGAACTGCCTTCAATTACCTCTCCTACCACACACACCTTCACATACACACATGACATACACATATGCCTACACACATCACCAAGGATACTGTCCTTGGTCCACTTTCTGTCATTTAGTGTACACTTTGTCCTCAGGGAAATTCACCAATCCTAATGCTTCAACTGCTACTTTTATGCCATAACATCCAAAGTTATGCCTCCAGCTTCAAATTTTTTCTAAGACCCCAATCCATGGTGCCAACTACATATTAGAAATGTCCTCCTAGCTGCCCTGCAGGAATCTCAAACTTCATCTATTGAAAGATAAATTCCTCATCTTCTTTCCTACTCCAACTTATTCTTCTTTTTATATTCTCCAGTCTAGAAGTCTATCACTGATGGAAATTTTCTCCCATCCCCTGATTCCCAATCTATCACCACTTATCTATTAGACTTCAGAAATGCCTATCCCTTTCTGTTCCATACTTCAGATCCCTCTCAGTCTAGCCTAGATTACTCTAACAGTTCTCCACAAGTCACTGGCTACACCAGTCTACTTTTTTTATTTTATACTGCCACTTGAGTAAATCCTTGATCAAAGAACCCATATATTGAAACAAACACCTTAGATTCCCAATTACATAGAGAATGAAGCCAAAGTCCCTTATAAAGGCATGACCATGCTTCACACTAGCATCTTAGCCGCTTTTCCTATTATTCCACTCCATAAATGTCCAGTATTCCAAGCACAAGACTTTTATTACACAGACCTTCCAATTTCCATAAAATTGGGCATACTGTCACTTCTATTTGGAATGCTCTCCTTCTCTGCCAAGTCAAAGTCCTACTCATAATTGAAGATATAGCTCAGATTTCAGTTCTTTCTTCAAACCTTTGCCAATAACTTCATGTGAAGTATCCCCTGGGCACTGAATGGGGTTTGTTTAATTATAGCACTAATCTTGATGTACAACTTTAATTTGCTTACATGTGTCTCCTTCACCCAAGTGGCTACTTAAACAGTAAGAACTGCTCACATACTCATGTTTGTTCCTTACTAGACAGTTGTTGAAACAGTTGTCAGTAAGAGCTGAGAGACCTATCTCAATAGATACTAGACCAGGAAGCATTTTCTTTATCACATACTAATTCAATAAGATGTATCTAACTTTGGTCTCTATTTCATCTCTTAGCTACTTCAGGTAACTTTTCAAATTCAATGTATTTTTAGAAACTATCATTTTTTTTTTTAAATTTAATACGAAGCTAATATTGAAAAGATGCCAAAAAGGTACCTTGGTAAAGGTGTAAATTCACTTATTATTCCCTCTGCTCCAAGTGTGACTCCCTGGACAATAAACGTACTTCCCATTCCTTTCCAAAGGGCCCTCGGTCCCTAAAATGAACAAAATTTATTGTTATTTCTATTAATGCCTAAATAAGAAACACAAAAAAGGTCTTAATAAAACTTGATATTAAATGTTTACTAATATTTTCCAATAAGGCATTATTTTAAGACATTTTAGTAGATAACTACAACTACATTAATTCCTATCATTTTATTATTTGTTGAGTGGCCAACGTTTAGGCAATGTGAATATTCCAATTAACTACATCTCTAATACTAATTAAACATACTAATATTTAATTAATTTTGAAAATGATGTGAATATATTAATTATTCAGTGACACCAAAAGATGTCATTACCAGGTTACATTAGTTTTAGAGCAAGCATTAAAATATTTTTGTTAATTAAATTAAAAGGAATTACTCTTGGTTTAATTACCACTAAGACCATATGGTACTTATACTATAAATAATCTTAATAGAACCTATAGACTAATTCTCACCTGAGTTTTGTTGAAGCTGTACATGATATTGATGACTGTAAACGGAGTGAGATGGTAATGCCGAGCATGATAATTAACCTATGAAAGATTATGTTGTAAATTATTTTGTTATTGTTTTGTCAAGAAATAACAATGTCATCAAAGATATACAAAGGAGTCAAAGCATAAACAAAAGTCCAAGTCTAAAGTCATTAGAAGTTACCCTGAACAAAATTACTACTATTAAAAGTACATTTAAATAACTTATTAAAAGTACAGTATATATGGCTATATATATATATATATATATATATACATACATATACACACACACACACAACACAGAAGACCCATGCACAATATATACAGTAATGTAGAATATATAATAAAGAAGAACAAGCTGTTTGACATTTATGTTTCCATAAACACTAGAATTACATTTGGTGTAGCCAAACATTCATGCCATTGAACACACAGGAAGCCACTGAAGAACTCAGGGAATGGGAGATTCATGTCTCCCAATACCAAGCCCTTTTTACACTGTAAACTATAAACAATTGGTAAATTATGAAATCAGTAAAGGGGGGGTGATATTTTGTAAAATAACAAAAAAGAAAGTATCAGAATGCATCACACATTCTAATGCCATTATTTCATAAAACATTTACGTTACTTGTATAGATGTACACACTGAATCACAATGTGATACTGTTGCTTTGTAGAATACATGTCTGAAATCCACTATTCTAGGCTATCTGCACTATCCGTGCTTTTAATGACTATTTTTTTGGGTGCTGAAGCATGAGCAGCTTAATTTGTAATTATTTATATATTTTCTAACTCAATTTTCAAAGAAGATTAAGTTAGATTATGGAAGCTTTTACCACAGTGTTGTCCACTTAATCCATGGGGCCATTCGGGGGATCTACAAGTTTAAAATTATCTTCTTAATGATACTAAGGCATCACTTGTCTTTTTTATTGTGTTGACATTTTCAAAAATAGCGCAAAACAATGGTGGCTAAAACTGCTTACTCCTTAGCATGACTCAAGATAGCTGGCAGCAAACTGTATTTTTGTACATATTATATTCTTTATCCCATTCACTTGGAAGGAGGAAAAAGCCACTTCCATTTAAGAATGTCTTGGTGAAACAGTAAAATGCATTAATTTTATAAAATGTTGATTCTTAAGTATACATCTTTGTAATTACTATTCTGTGTGTTACATAATGAAGTAAGACTGCTGTTGTGAGGAAAAGCACTTGTCTGATGAAGTTGCAAGCTAAACTAGCTACTTTTTTCATGGAACACCATTTTTTCTGCAAAAACTGACTACCAAACTACAGTTATTAACATGTGAGAAAAACATGCAGGGGCAGCTGGGTGGCTCAGTTGACCAAACGTATGACTCTAGGTTTTGGCTCAGGTCATCTCATGGGTCATGGGATGAGTCCCACATTGGACTCTAAACTCACCCGGGAGTCTGCTTGAGAGTCTCTTTCCTGCCCTCCCCACCCATCTCCTCACTCTCTCTAAAACAAACAACAAAATCTTTAAAAAAAATAAAAATAAAAACGAACAAAGTGAGCCTACTGATTAAAGGAAAAAAAAACTGGCATTATGGGATGCTAATGATAAATCTGACTTTACAAGCAAAATTTAGAATTCTGAAAAAACTGCATCTACCATGAAGAACTTTCCAATACTGAAACACTTTTCTGGTGGGATTGGTAGTGATTTAATGACAATTTTTAAAAGTACTATATAATCAAATGTCTTAACATTAGAAGATCTACAGAACTCAGTAAATCAGTATTTTTCTTTTTTTTTTTTTTTAAGATTTTTTTATTTGTGAGAGAGAGAGAGAGCACACAAGCGTGCATGAGCACAAGCAGGGGGAGCAGCAGGCCGAGGGAGAAGCAGGCTCCCTGCTGAGAAAGAAGCCGGTTGTGGAACTTGATCCCAGGAACCAGCATGACCTAAGCCTAAGGCAGACACTTAACCAAATGAGCTACCTAGGCGTCCCAATATTTTTCCAATAATCAACACATGATGTTATAGAATCATATATAGATCAATAGATTTTAATGTAAGAGAGTACAAAAAGTTAACTCACATGGTTTGAAATTTCTCACTGCAAATAACCTTTAATATATTACTATTTATTAAGTTTTGGTGAAGTAAAAAAGAAGAAAATCTGCCAATTATCTGAAAAAGATATAAAATATTTCATTTTCAATACATATGCGTATCAGGTTACACCTTCTTCTTTCAAAACCAAAATTTTTTATGATGTAAGAGTTTTCAACACCAAAAAGTTTGAGACTGATCTATTGTAGATTCTGGTACATTTCACATGGAGTAACAGTTATACAGTTTCAGCCATTAATCTGAGTTCTGTATTTTAAATCAGAGTAAGGATTATTGTTTAGAAGGTAACAGAAAAGTTCATTTACCTGACATTGGCGGCGTAGAACAATGCAAGGATGAGCCAGTACATTTTCTGTAAAGAGGCTATAAAAGAATAATTTATATATATAAAATATATAATTAATATATATATATTTTGTGTATACACACACACACACACACACACACACACATAATAGCCAAAACTTAAATTACAATAAATATGTATCTGAAATTATTCTTGCTTGAAGAATCATGCATTATTTTGTTTCCCATTCTAACAGTTAAAAAAAATTGTCTGGATATATTTGCAAATCATTCTAAGAACAACAAAATTCAATATGAAAAGAATTAAAGCCAAATCTGTAAACTGGTAAACAAGGGCAGTAACATAAAATAGTAATACATGTACTCTAAAAATGAAACTACAGCTCCATGCCTGAAATGGGAAACTCCTTTCCTAGACAACTTAAATGCTCCTTTCCATTTCTTTCAGAAGATATCCTATGAACAAAGTTCCTATCAGAAGAGTCATCTGTTCTTCATGAACCACCTTCTATAAATTTTAGTTTTGATGTACATTGCATTTAAGTTATTAGGGATTAAGTTATAAGGATTTTAATAACGATTAATTGACTACTATTTTGGATATCAAATATTTCTTCTGAAAGCATTCCCTACAAAATAATTACAATTGCAGGCTTACATACTAACAGTGACAGCTGTACAAGCATGAGAGCACATGCAGGGCGTATACATATACACATATAAATAATGTAATCAGGGGCGCCTGGGTGGCTCAGTGGGTTAAAGCCTCTGCCTTCGGCTCAGGTCATGATCCCAGGGTCCTGGGATCGAGCCCCACATCGGGCTCTCTGCTTGGCAGGGAGCCTGCTTCCCTTCCTCTCTTTCTGCCTGCCTCTCTGCCTACTTGCGATCTCTGTCAAATTAAAAAAAAAAAAAACCCTTAAAATAAATAAAGTATCAAATGAACAACAGCTTTTAACAGTGAGGCTAAAGAAAAATTAATTCTAGCAAAAGGAAAATTTTAATTCACAATTATGCTCCTATTTACAGTAACACTCTCAGGTTTATTTATGCAAATAAGATAATTTTTTTCTTGATTAAAATTTTAAAACAATGAGTTGTCCTGGCATGCAACATAACCCTTTGTGGAATTCTGATATATTTTGAAATAATATTCATTAGAGATCACATAATCAAAATTGGAGGTTTTTTTCCCCACAAAATGATCATTAAAAATAAAAAAAATAATGGTGGTCATTAAATGCTGATTGTAAGCAAAACCCAGACTCCATGTTGTTAAATATCATATTACAATTAGAATGTTTAGGGGAAGGTTCAATGCAAATAACTTTCTCTTAGGGGGGGATTAGATCAGATTTTTTTGGGCAGACACATGAAAGTTATTAAAATATAACTTACAAAATTATTTTGTGGTTATAAATTGAATGACTATTCTCTATCCTTACTAAAAAAAAAATGAAGTTATAGATTTTAAATAACTTTTTCTGCAAAATATTATTCAACATTTAATCTACTGCTCCAAAGAATCAATCTAAAGGAAGCAATACTAATCATTTAATATCTTATATTAAAACACTCTGAATAAAACACTTTAAATAAAAACTTCAATTAAAAATCATTAGAAAAAAACATTACCTTGCAAGGCCAATACCAAATCCAGCAAATCTATTCAACTGCTCTAAAACAGGAAGAAATAAGATTACTCATAACCAATATTTAGGTTTACTGTAAAAATTTTTTTTCTTTTATTAACATGATATTTATTTAAATTCTAGGTCCTAGAGTCAAATTCTGATATGGGCCAGGGAAGCTGTGGGAAGCTGCAAGACAGACCTGGTCTTCAGCTCCAATTCACTGTTGACATGTGGGACTGTGGGCCCAGTGTTTCTAAACTGTTATTTTTCTAAAGAGATATTGTCATTTTTACATAATATCTCCCAATTTTAAAATACCAGCAACTATTTTAAAAAGCATTATAAAACTGTGGGCCAAATCAAACATGTCTGCAGGTAGAAACTAAGGATAACCACTTTTCAACTTCTAACTACAAACAATTTAAATTTTTTTAACCAACAACTTTACCTCCTATCTGAAAAATTAGTCATTTGCTGTTATTGATGGAAAACATCTATGTTAAATGAACAGTTGCAAGTAAGACACCTCAAAATTATTAAATCGAAAGAGTACTTAGGGTAATCAAAATGGTTAAATGAGGCTCGCTTCTCGACAAGTTTTAAATATTTTGAGAGTAACTGCTTAGATAGATCTCTGTGAGAAGCTACTGGATACATATGCACTACTCCTGATGGCATCTCTATTGTCTTATTAGAAAAGTTTACAGCTGGAAACACTCCTATGCATACGTCAAAACAAATAAAAGAATTTCTCCTTGGCTAAAAATCTCAAAATCATGATGGTGAAATACCACAACCTCAGGGGGCCAGACATTACATTTCTACTATAATACAATATTCACAAGGGATAATTTTTTTTCCTCTCCTCCTCTTTTCTCTCTCTCAGCTCTTTCACATACTGTCACTATTTCCTTACAGTCAGAATAAGGCCATGTAAACATGTCCCTGGGGAAACTATTTTGTTAACCCTTGCCTTGAAAAATGTACAAGCCAGACAGAAGGTTCTTTTGCCAATTAAGATACTTTCCTCCTTTCAGCTTTTCCCTTTTTGCATGTATATTAACAGAAAATGCCAGTGATATTTTCTGCAAAGTGTTAGAAAGGTTTATTAACTGTGTAAGTTAACTAAGTCTCTCAGTCTTCAATTCTCCTTGCAAAATTACCACTGCCAACCTTTTAACTGCTGCAAACATCCCCTGGTTTTAAGAGTTCCTCCTCACTCTAACCACTAAAGCACAAATTATAAAAAGATAAAAATATCAGCTTTACTGCCTAAGAAGTTAACTGTGTAGCAATCATATATGCATTTTGAATTACTTTTAACTTTCCAGTACTCCTTTGGGACCACAGAAAGAAAACTAGAGAGGGTGAAAAAACAAACTGTATAACACTGTGTAAGATCCTCCTCCTCCTCCTCATTTGCTCTTAGGTGATATTTAAAATCTATTCCTCCAAGTTAAATCAAATAAAAATTATTGTACTTCCAAGTACACATAAATAAATGCAAATGAACACATCTAGAATATACTTAATATTTAATGGTCTAGTCTATTATTCTCATGATTTCAAAATGGGAAGAGGCAGTGATTATTTCCATTTTGTGAATAAACAAAAAGTTGAGAATATTTAGATCACAGTGTTATAATTAAAACACAGGTCTTCTGACATTCTACAGTGAATAATTATGTCCTGATTCCAACGTCTTGACATTGTCTCAGTGTTTTTTACTTCTTAGTGGAGTTTTTAGGTGAGAAATAGGCGATGGGAAAATATAGGAGTACAGTTTGAGAGTCTAGAAAACAGACAAAACTCCTATGATTAAAAGAGAAAAGGAAGGAAACGAATATATTTTTTTTTTAGCTTACTACGTGCTCCATACTATACAAGGCATTACTTACACTTCATTTTATTTAACCTTAAAAAAACCAAAAACAAACTATGAATTATTCTTCTAGCCACCTTAAAGGTGGAAAGACGCAAGGCTCTCAGAGGTTAACAAAATGTCTTAGCTTTTGAGAGTGGTACAGTCAGGTTTGAATCGAAGCCTGCCAATGCTGAAAAACTTTACAGAACCCAAAGTTACCATTATTAATTCAAGGCAATAATGGTGTCAGTGAACTAGGTATTGTTCACATAATTCCCAATAAACAACAAATAATCCAATTTCCTTCCTTCTTGATTTAGGCCATGGGATGTCACACACCAAACCCCTTCGAAGCTCCTACCACGCAGCCCAGAGCTAAGGCAGGTGTCTGTTCCGAGGTGATCCGGGAGGAAAGGTTTGTGCAAGGAAGAGGGGAGCAGGCCCGCTGCAAGGGCAGAGGACGAAAGGAGGGCAAAGGGTGTGGCGCGCGATAGGTCCAGCGACACCGGAGGCGGGACCCTCGGCGCGGCTTCCGCGGTCTGCAAGCCGCGGGCCGCGGCCCCGCCACTCCACCCACCCCTGCCTCGCTCCCAAGTCCCTCACCGGTGCTCTGTCCCGGCACGCCGCCACCGCCGCCGCTGCTGCCGCCGGGAAACGGTTCCTCCGCGGGGCCCTCGAGCGGGGTGGAGGGGCCGGGTACGCCGTAGGGCGGGCTCTTTTCGCCCCAGTGCAGGTTGCGGCTACCGGGGATGTCTGGGGGAGTGGTCACCCAGTGGCTCAGGTCCGACGCGGAGCTGAAGGACCTGGCAGGGAAAGCGCCGCCAAAACCCTGCTCATCCCGGGCACCGCCCCGATAGCCCAAGCCATCGAATCCGTCCGGGCGCCGCGGATGCATCGCAGACGGGGCAGGATGACGCGAGCCCACCCGGAGCCCACGACCACTGGGGCCACCGCGACCTCCGGCCACTCGGCTTCTTCCCGGCCCCCCGCCGCGTCTGGAGCGATCTGACAACCGGAAGTCACGTTGCAAACACGGAAGTTCGGCGAGCACGTGATCATAACCTTTTCCGGCGGTCTGGTGAGAGAGAGCGTTGCTACGGAGACGCGGCGGTAACCTAGGACCAATCCTTCAAGAAAATCGCTGTCTGGAGGAGGTGGAAAAATGACTGTGGGGTTAATGGAACATTGTACCAAAGAGATGCCAAGGAACTGGGGTGGGAAGGACAGCCTGGATAAGCGGATGTCGAATAAAGACGTTTTATCGAGGGACGTGAGGCGTCGGTGGAGCTGACTCACTGAGATCTCAGCCAGAAATGTCCTGCTGCGCTCAAAGGCCTCAGATCTAGGTCTTCTCTTTTCCTCACTGGTCTAGTGCCTCGCCCGCTGCAAGGCAGCGATTAGACTTTAGAGTTGCGGGGTGTTGGTAACGTCTCTGTAGCTTTGCCTCCCGCACTTAATAGAGTTTTAGCTAGGTTCTATTGAGAGAGCTGGTTCTGCCCAGTGAACTAAAAAGTACTATGGACAGCTAGAGCAAGCATTACAAAAGACCGTCTGTGGAGAAAACCTCCTTTCCCCGTCCGCTCCCCCACGAATGTAAACTGCTCTCAGGATTTAGGAATTAAGCATTTTGCTTTTCCGAGGCTACAAACAGTTGTAATTTTTTCTTTTTCCTAGTGCATCTAAGTCACTTAGTGTCTTTAAAGTCTAGTGATACTGTTCAGGATTGACATCCTAGTTGAACAACTAAGAGGACTTCTGAACAGAGTCCTCTACTACCTGTTTTCATGGGCTCCATGGGCTCTTCGGGCAAAGTCCTTCTCCCTAGACTTGATCGAGCCTTCCATGGATTCTTCCTGTGTCCCTACTTCCCCACTGGACGTCCAGGATTCTGAGGGCTTTCAGAAGAGAATCTTGACACACGATTCTTAATCAACCAGACGCGACCCTTTCTTTGAAGCGATAACGTCATTCATTGGGTTGGTATGTGGCTTAGGCAATTGTATTGAGTCTCTCAATACAATTGGGTATTGAGTATCTGGTATTACTAGATATATAATATTATATATATATATAGTATCCAGTATTACTCAAGTACTAATACCAAATTAATATCAAATTAATTACTGAGCATGGCAATACAAAATATTTCTCTGTTCCTTAGAAATGATTGAATTAAAGACGCATTTGGCTCAGGTCCTAAACTTGTTTCTTAAAAGGAGAAGGAGAGAAAGGCCTGTGTTTATGCATGTGTGTGCACTTTTAATATAAAAACCATAGCATCTCACAGTTTCTCATCCACATCAATGAAGAAAAGATGAATTAGTAAAAGAAGGACAGCAGGGTTGCCAGTTGAGGGGAGGAAACAATAACAGCCCCTCCTCACAGCTCACCCCCACATAAATTCCAGCTGCAATAAATTGTATTTTTTTCTTTACTTTTAAAAAGATTGAATATTGGGAGAAAATAATAAGGGGTTATTTTTCAAATAGTTGGCAAACTTTCTAAAAGTGACAGAAATGTCAAAAACCATGTATGGAAAGACTAATCAATTTGACCATATAAAATTTAAATTTCTGTATGCAAATAAATAAGGGAAAACATAGTAATCAAAATTGAAAAAAAAATCACAAACTAGGAAAAACTACGTTTTAACATGATAAAGACAATGAGTCACTTTATTGTAAAAAAGCTCTTAGCAATAATTAAGGGTATGTCAGTAGAAATATAAGCAAATAACATGAAGAGGCAAGTCATAAAAAAAATGCCCGCCGTTTTGAAATAAAATAAATGCCTCAGCATTTTATGTGAAAAAATGTCTGCCAGTAATTGAAGAAAGGAAAACTTAATAGCTATATTTCCCTATTTAAAAGACAATGTTTGGGGCGCCTGGGTGGCTCAGTGGGTTAAGCCGCTGCCTTCGGCTCAGGTCGTGATCTCGGGGTCCTGGGATCGAGTCCCACATCGGGCTCTCTGCTCGGCAGGAAGCCTGCTTCCCTCTCTCTCTCTGCCTTGCCTCTCCATCTACTTGTGATCTCTCTCTGTCAAATAAATAAATAACATCTTAAAAAAAAAAAGACAATGTTTAAAAGGGAAAATGTACATTGTCATGCAATGTGAGAAGAAAATGGCTGTCATTCATTTCTAGTGTGGCATAAAATATAACAACTTTTTCTTGGAGGGCTATTTGACAAAATGTCTAAAAAACTGTAAAAATGATAATCTTTGACTCTTAAATCTTAGGAAACAAATATAAGGTATATATATTTACTTATGCACATGTTCATGACATAATTGCTCATAACAGGAAAAATTGTCAGGATACCAAATATCAAGTGATTATCCATTAATTATTAATTAAAATGATTCTCTATATGGTCCTTTAAGCAAAGTATATTTATTGAGCACCTATCCTCCGTACAGTTAATGTTCTAAGCAATGAAGTTAGAATGATAAATAAGCCAAAATCCTTACATTGTTAGAACTCATATTCTAGTTAGGAGATGACTAATAGATAAATAAATCATGTCAGATAATGAAACAAACATAATGCAATGTCAAATAATGACACATGATATATTTAATACAATCAAGTCAGTGGTAGAGGCAGTGTTTTTTAGATTGGTTGGTCAAGGATGTCCTCCATGAGGAAGATATTTTAAACAAACTTAAATGAAGTGAAGGAATGAGCCCTGTGTGAATATCTGGAAGAAATATTTTCAAGGCAGAAGTAAGTGTAAAGTCCTGGTGACAAGCTAGGTAGTTAGTGAGCAAGGGCTCACTGAGAGCAGAAAGAGAATACGGGACAGATTTAGCAGGGCTTTCCTGAGATGAGGAATGAGATGACCCTAATGCAGTTTTTGAAGGACCAATGTGACTTCCCTATGGGGCAAAGGTGGAAGCCTCTATTGAGTAGACCACTGTAAGTGGCTCAGGTAGGAGACAGTAGAGAAGTGCCTCCTAATCTATGGTTTCCCTTTCCCAGGTTTTCAGTTGCCTTTGCTTTTCTGTTTCCCACAGTAAACTGCAGGCCAGGAACAGATGATCCTCCTTCTGAAGTATAGTCAGAAGACCAATAGTAGCCTAATGCTTCATCACGATGCCTATGGCATTTATCTCACTTTATCTCATCATGTAGGCCTTTTATCACCTCACATCCTCACAAGAAGAAGGGTGAGTACTGGACAGGAAGATATTTTGAGAGAGAGACCACATTCACAAAACTCTTATTATAGTGTAATTGTTCTATTTTATTATTAACTACTGTTGTTAATTTCTTGCTGTGCTTAATTTATAAATTAAACTTTATCATGAGAATGTATGTATAGGAAGAAAAAAGCGTATATGGGATTTGGTACTATCACAGTTTCAGGCATGCACGGGGGGTCTGTGTCTCTCATGACATTGCTGTCAAGACTTCAATTTGAGGTGCAGTTATTTTAGACTTAACTGGGTTTGACTGGGACTGGAGGAGTCACTTCCAAGATAATTCATTCAGTTAATTGTGGAAACAATGCCTCCTTTTCTTGCTGATTTGCTGTCAGGAGGTCTTAATTCCTTGCTACGTAGAGCTCTCCATAGAACTTTTTTTTCTTTTGAGAGAGAGAGAGAGCTTGAGCATGTGAGCGAGAGAGAGGGTAAGGGAAGAGGAGGACAGAGGGAGAGGGAGAGAGTGAATCTTAAGCAGGTTCCACACCCAGCACAGAGCCTGACTCGGGGCTCACTCTCACAATCCTGAGATCATGACCTGAGCCGAAATCAAGGGTCAGATGCTTAACTGACCTAAGCCACCCAGGACCACCTCTCCATAGAACTCTGGAGTGTCCTTCTAAAGTGACAGGTGACTTTTTCCCTGAAGAAATGATTCGAGAGAAAGCAAAGAGTATCCTACACTGTCTTTATGACGTAATTCTACTTCATCACTTCTGTCACGTTCTAATCTCTAGAAGTGAGTCACTAAATCCAAGCCAACACTAAGTAGAAAGAATTTGGCTCCATCTTCTAAAGGGAGGTTATCGAACAATTTGTGTTCATATTTTTAAACAAGCACAATTAAACTATTACATAACAATGAGTGGATGGAGTACACTGAAGGCATCAAATATAAAAAATTAGGAAAAATTTCACAAAATTGTATTATTAATAGAAAAATATGGATAATTTCTTTTTGCCTTTTCCCTTAGTAAATCAATTTGAAGGATTAGTTTGCTTTGGAAAAACTCATATGATAGAAATAGTTATAGTCCTGAAATAGCTTAGTATGTGTTTTTAAAAGTCCAGTCATTATTCAGTCAGACTTAAGTTGAAATACAAGTGAAGAATATAGATTATTTTGACAGTCTTCAAGAATTGGCAAAAAATGATATGACCTGCTAAAGTACAAAAGAAGCAGGTCATTCATTTATATTAATATTTTACTCAGAAATTCATAAACTGAATTTAGCTCACCAGATAAAATCATTTACATTTTTTTAAAGATTTTATTTATTTGACAGGCAGAGATTACAAGTAGGCAGAGAGAGAGAGGGGAAGCAGGCTCCCCGCCGAGCAGAGAGCCTCATGGCTCGATCCCAGGACCCTGGGATCATGACCAAGCGGAAGGCAGAGGCTTTAACCCACTGAGACACCCAGGCGCCCCAAATCATTTACATTTTTATGCAGGAATTCACCCAGCAATATTTATTAAGGACTACTATGGCAAGTCACCCTGTTAGCTACCATGATGCAACTATATATTTTTTCAAGGATGGAATTTGAAGATATTGAAATTATTTATTTCAAATGTATATATGGACCAAGAAAAAATTTTCACAATAAGTTTTAATATGTATTAAGCCACACCCTCACATCCTTTCTTCTTTTTTGTAATTTTCTTGGCTAATCTGCCCATTATTCTTCCAAATGAACTTAAAAAAACGTTTCATTCTTCACTCTCATTCTTCTAAAATATACACATGCATGCACGCACA